TTCCGGCCATTTGGGGGGGGAGGACCTTTCACTATCAGAGGCCCTCCGTCAACCTTGTGCTACCCCCCCCCCCCCCGCCGCTTGGCAGGACTCTGGCTGCGCACCTGTTTGGTACGGGCCGCCCTGCCCTTTGACGTCGCTGACCTCCAGTACGACCGCTGCCACCGGCCGCAGGGCGTACCAGCCAGGGACCAATATAGGTATCACTCGACTGCATTCCTTGCTTGGCTGGCATGGGTTGTGGCACGGTTTGTTGCATCAAGACTAACCACGTTTTCATTCTGGCGATGCGTTATATAAGTGAAATACGAGGTTCAGATACATGAGCAGTAGGTGGAAAGGTTAGAATAGTCGGTTGTCCATATGACCCAGGCTAGATGACTCATGGAAGGTTTACGTTCTTACCGTTAGAGGTAAAAGCGCCCGATATGAAATGCACACAGGTAACGCATTTCATGCGGAAAATGGCAACCCATACATGGGCAACGCCAGGCAATGCGAACGGGAAACTACGAAGGAAAATATTTTCAGATCAGTCGTAGAACGCATGGTTACGAGTTGTTACTGCTGCCCTTTCGTTTTGGCAGACACGCCGTTTTTTCTAGAATGTATTACTCATTTAACGGACAGACTAGTATTATCTGTCACGTATCACGCATGGGTGCTGGCATTGGCTGCTTTATTTCCGGGTCAGGCTCTTTGAGAACCAGAATATTCGCCCGTGCATTGGCCGCATGGTCATAAGTTCCCACGATTTCGCAGCAATTCGGTCCAAATTCACAGGAGCTGGGAGAAAATTTGATTATGCTCCCCCCCCCCCCCAACCACGGGGGAATTCTGGGCCCGTGCCAGAAGTTGGATGCCACTGACAGTCTGAGACAACTCTGCTGATGCACTCTCGGCTCTGCCGGTACACTGGCAGTCTGAGACAACTCTGCTGGTGCGGTCTTGGCTCTACCGGTACACTGGCAGTCTGAGACAACGCTGCTGGTGCGGTCTTGGCTCTACCGGTACACTGGCAGTCTGAGACAACTCTGCTGTGCGGTCTTGGCTCTACCGGTACACTGGCAGTCTGAGACAACTCTGCTGGTGCGGTCTTGGCTCTACCGGTACACTGGCAGTCTGAGACAACTCTGCTGGTGCGGTCTTGGCTCTACCGGTACACTGGCAGTCTGAGACAACTCTGCTGGTGCGGTCTTGGCTCTACCGGTACACTGGCAGTCTGAGACAACTCTGCTGGTGCGGTCTTGGCTCTACCGGTACACTGGCAGTCTGAGACAACTCTGCTGATGCACTCTCGGCTCTACCGGTACACTGACAGTCTGAGACAACTCTGCTGGTGCGCTCTTGGCTCTACCGGTACACTGACAGTCTGAGACAACTCTGCTGGTGCGGTCTTGGCTCTACCGGTACACTGACAGTCTGAGACAACTCTGCTGGTGCACTCTCGGCTCTACCGGTACACTGACAGTCTGAGACAACTCTGCTGGTGCGGTCTTGGCTCTACCGGTACACTTTTTTTCTAGAGCAATGTCCCGTGTGCGACGCCGGGAGAATTTTTTCGTCAAACCGGTAAATATGACCTCAATGTGTTGAGAATTTAATTAAGCATAAGCCATTCTCCGGCAACGCTCTGGGAGCCAGGTTTTGGAGTGCGGCCAAGCAATGCGCACATTTTGTTAAGCTGTTCGTCCAAGTGAAGACGCCAAGCTGTCCATGACCGGGAGTAGCCATTTGTCACCGCCGGACTGTATCCACGTGATGTGTGATGGCGAACACAGCCAATCTAGTTGCCTAGATTTTGCTTTCGCTGCACGTCCGAAAGATGAGATAGCGTGCAATGGTGCTGACTGAGCCGATCCGAAGAACTCCGCGTGGTTATGCGATAGCTCACGCTGGGCCTTCGGGGAGTTTGAGTCACCTGAGGTAAAAACGGACACCGCATTATTAAAATTTATAATGGTGTTCCAGCAGTCCAGCTGGTCTAGGATCTATGCCACGTTCGCAGAATCTATGCCGGCCAAAAATCAACTTGAAATGAAACCCAAAATACATGGATTTTTATCTGAGATAATCGCCAGCGCCGCGTATGGGCTATGCGCTGAAATGGCAGGTTGCGGCACCGCGTCGACAACCTGGTGGCAGTAGCGGCCTGTTTACGGATGACAGCACGCTTTTCATCAATACATTAGCGGCGGATGTTGTCTGGTAAACATGGTATGATTAGTAAACCGATAGGCTTTCCGAGCAGACAAACAAACACACCGATAGGATTTCCGAGCCTCGTTTGCATGCACGAATGACATATTGCACACACCAACCAAGCCCTGAATTCGTCTTACCGGCAAGAGCTGCAGCCAGCCATCCATGACTGGCGTATCAAAGCAAACTGCGCCCTTTGAGCATAACCTTGGGCACTGACTCGATGCTTCGGGGCAGAGGGTCGGAACAGGAAACCAAGCCACGTCCGAACTAAGACCAGCATAAAGTGGTTGCCAACATGACTTAAAATAATTGTGCTCTAACAGCTCGCTTATGACTTCCCCGACGTTCGTTTTGGTACTTTAGTCTCATGAGTGATAGGCTCCAGTAAGTTTTGGATTAAGAGCAACGCCAGGAGTAGCTTGTTGTCGAGGTGCTGTCTCTTACTGACATGACGTGCGACTTACCTGCTGACATGGTCGCCCCCCCCCCTGGCCTGGCTTGAATTCAATGCATTGCACCGTTTTTTTTGTCGTCTCTCCTCGCCCGCCTGGGCGTCTTCATCTGCGACCCTCCTCGCCACAAAGCTCCAACTGTGCCTCTACGTCACCTGTGCTGCTCTCCCCTCCCTGTGCCAGAGGAGTCCTCAATCAACGCCTCGCTCAGCACCGGACGCTCCACTCAGCCCCGAGCGCCCCACTCAGCACCGGACGCCTCGCTCAGCACCGGACGCCTCGCTCAGCCCCGAACGCCTCGTTCGGCGCCGGACCCCTTACGCTCCACTCAGCCCCGAACGCCCAACTCAGCCCCGAACGCCTCGTTCAGCGCCGGACCCCTCGCTCAACGCCGGACGCCCCGCCCATGTCCTCTTTTTCTTTCCATGCCGGCATCTGCGCTGTTCTTCTGTTCAACATGTCACACCCATGGTCTTCTCCCGCGAACGTTGTGGTCGTGGGCCATTGTGCGGCACACCCGTGCTTTCCAATATTGCCGAGGCGCGCAGCCGGGCTCGGCCCTGGTCTTGTTTTCCTTCGTGGCCGCCACCACATCGGTCTCTCCAGGTATTCTGTAAGTCTAGTCCGCCACGCGAAAAGGATGGTCCCATCCTTTGCCTCACGAAATGGGAACATCTTAAAAAGTGGGTGTTCAAAACATATTTTTTAGTTTATTATATGTACGTATATATGTGTGCATTAAATCTCCACAACGTGGCTGTTCCGATCTACTAGTCAATAGATGCATTAAAGATAGCGGCGAACTCATTACTTAGTGCACATGCAAGTTACGTACGATGGGGTCATTTTAAATGAAGGAAAGCACCTAGGCTGCACAAATCGCACGATTAGCCTGTAACCAGCTCGACACACCTGCTAGAAAGTGTCCCTCTGATGCTGGGGCGCTAATATATGGCGGCAGACGATTTCACGAGCCAGTGCCGCGGCACACAAACGATCGCCGGCTGAGGTCAGTTCGGACACGCAGGGTCTGCAACAGAGCCAGTGCCGCGGCACACAAACGATCGCCGGCTGAGGTCAGTTCAAACACGCAGGGTCTGCAACAGAGCCAGTGCCGCGGCACACAAACGATCGCCGGCTGAGGTCAGTTCGAACACGCAGGGTCTGTAACAGAAGGCTTCCAGACCCTCGCCTGGATCGGACAGACACCCAAGAGCACAGGTCGACAAGGGTACGTAAACTGTGCGCCGTTGGCGACCTTTGTAGGTGGTGGAGAGATAGAAGGTCGCGCTTCGTAAAAAGGTCGTTAACTTTGAGACGCTCAAACGTTTTCAGGCTGGGAGATGTGCGTTTGTATCTGGTCGGGTTTGGGTTCTTGGTTCCACTGATAATTCTGGCGCCAAAATTTAACGCTCTTTGGATCCTATGCTTTTGCGTTTGAGAGCAGCCACCCTACGCTGTGAGCTAATACCTTATGTCGGGATGAGCGAGCCCTTGACGCATAATTTTTTTGTTTCACTTGGCAGCTGATGGGTCAATTTGGCAAGATCTACCAAGTGCTACAACATCGTTCCACAGTGGCATATATCTGACGATCCCAATTCAAATTAGCATCAACAACGACTCCAAGAACGTTCGCTGAACGTGAGGCAGTGATTTTTGCCTGACCAAAGGTGACATCAAAATACTCTTTTAAACTGAGTCGAGGATATTTTAAGAGCAAAAGATCAATTTCCTACAACCGGCTGCGCCCCATGCATTTGCGTCTGTGCTATGGCGGAGCCTGAGAGATACGTAACAATTACGCGCTTATTCAGGGTAATCTAGACGTGACTATGGCTCGTTTGAAGATAAAGTTTCTGGCAGATGTCTTTCCATCCTCCCCTCTCCCTCCATCCCGAGAGCGTGAGATAATTCATACGCTTTGGGGACTTCAAACCACAAATAAAGGGACGAAAACAGCAGGCGAGCAACATACCACTTCAAGCATACACTCATTCCCCGTCCACGTGCCGTATCCTGTGAGCCACGTCCTTGTCCTGTCACAAAAATGACGGAAAGGGATTTGGAGTGGTGTCAGCGCGACAGCGCGATCGGAACCAGACGGCGCCGACCTCAGCTGATTATCCGGCGGCTGGAGGGCGCAGGCAGCGTCAGAGCACACCTTTCCTCACCTCGACCCGCCCCGCATGGCCAGGCAGCAGCGGGCTCGCGCGGCAGCCACAGCGAGGGCCGGCGAGTCGAGCGCGTCGGGCTCGCCCCGCCAGGTGCACCCCCGCTCACGCTCGCAGACCCACGGCCGGCTGGCCGCGCTCCGACACGTGGTGGCCACGTGACGAACAGCCGTGCATAAATAGTGACGGCCGGCGCCGGCCGGGCCGGAGCCGCCGGTGACCATTAGCCGGTCTGGCGGCGCCGCTGCAGGCCATCCGCCGCCCTCCCCGTCCGTTCCGTGCCGCCAGGCGCATGGCAGCGTGTTGTGCCGGTCGCACGCCGCGCTAGAGTAGCGGTCGTCCTCCGGCAAGCGCGGCCCTCAGGCTGCTTCCCCCAGCGCCGCGCTCGTCACCGCCACTTCAGCCGCCCCGCCAACGTGAGTGTGAAGTGGCGCCGGCTGGCCGCCGCGCGCCCTGGACACGTGGTGCCGGATGCCGTGCGGGGGGTGGCGCCTGGTGCGTTGGGTTTTTAAGGCGGCGTCGATCGCTGGGAGACGCTAGGTGTTCTACGGCGTGTGCAATCTCGGCTATGCTGCATTTGTACTAGTGGCCAGGAAAACCGGCGTCGGGTCAGGTTTGATTTAATTCGATTTGGTTTGGATTAGATCTCTTTCGGCCAGTAATGACTCTTTCAGGGAGACTTTGGGATGCAGGAGAAGGGATAATGGTGGGGCACAGCCACATGCGCCGGTGGTTCCATCCGCCGAGACTTAGCCCGCACAGAGTTCGTAAAACGGTGTCTGTGCTCGGCGCCCGGACGGCGTCCGCGCCAGTAGTCACTTTCGTCACTCTTGGTTGGCACATGTGGCTTGTGTCGGACGGGGCTGTGACCATACTCTCCCGTCACACACGTCGATTCAATGGTAGCCACCCTTTACCTTCCCATCTGCAGTTTTTCAGCACTTTGTTACGAATGATGAAATTAATAATAAATATATATTGACGATTGGCATAGTTACAATAGTTATCAACGCATGAAAGCGTCTCGGAAACGTTTAAACCAGAACATGCAACTTTGGTTTGATAATTGCGAAGGCGATAAGCAAAGGGCTAGTGGTGAGGGAACAAAGAACATGCAGTAGTATCATCTGACATTTTTAAAGAATCTACCCGGCACTTCGCGAATGTCTCCACCTCTCCCGTACCTGTACCGACAAGTTTCCCCCAAAACGCACCGCAACCCGACCCGTCGCCCATTCTACACGGGTGCCCATGGGTTAAAGCAGCCCGTGGTCCTCTAATTCCAGGGAGCTGCTGAGCTTTTGTCACGCGCTGGACGTGCGCAATAATCGTCTTCTGTCACAAACGCGCCGCGATGTGTGTTGCTGAGTTCAGCGCACCGTCAGAGAACTGCGCCCACTCTGGCGACACAGTTGCGTAAGCGCAGTCAAATGGTGGGGAAAGGCTGTCATAGCAGGCGCACTGAGCGATACAAGGCGGCCCACCCCGCCTCCGGGTTCTCGTGCCGAAACTCTGGGGGCGGGCAGGCAGGCGCGCGTTGCCACGCGGGCACCGCCGACCGAGCCAGCCCGGACACCCGACAGATGTCCGCCGTCGCTGCACTCCCTATGCAGTCGCCGGGCGGATGCGCGCACTCCGCAGACAGTGTCACGGACAGCAGCGAAGATGGTGACCTGGCTGTGACGGCGGTCATCGAGGCTGCAGTCGCGTGCTTCAGCCGACCGGCGGGGCGGACAGTTGGACCTTTATTACCGCGGCATGCAGTCTGCTGCAAGGGCACGTACCTTTAGAATTTGAGCTACTCGTGGCTCATCGTCCCGTTTACTGGCACATGCTGACTGCATAACGGTGCCGGGTGATAGCTATGGGGCACAGAAACTGTTGTGCGTTGCAGCGTTTTGTGTACGAACCGCATATGAACACCACGGACGATGATGAAAACATTTTCCATGCCTGCATCTCCTAGACGCGACCTTCGGCAAAGGATGACGTTTGGGGTCGGTGCCACGCGCTGGGAAAATGCTGATCAGATTTAGTGTTCACTCAGATGAATACTTGATGCCTCTTTATGGCCGCTACCGTGCGCTGGGTAAAAAGCTTAAAAGAAATGTTTCCCATGTGAAGATTTTGCAGTACGCATCAGATATGATGAAACAAGCTCACTTATGACTGTTGTTATTCTTTTAAGAAGAAAATACTTATCTAGGCAAGACAATTTCTCAGTTCGATGAATGTGCTCCTAGATACGTCATTGTTTGATTACGTCATCGTACCTTGCACAACATTCCTTGGAAGCCAATTGGCGGCCGATATATCTGGAAATTGTGCTCACGAACGCCAGGTATGAATGGCTTGATCATTTCTTTGCTTGGCCTTAATCACCACATGCTTATTCAATGACACGATCTAAATGACGCTATGATAACGTCATGAATACCAAGATGACCTTTAAATGCTCTCCCAGGCTACTCTCACACATCTTTGCGGCTTTCAACCCCAGCAGCCAGAGGGCTTTAGGTCTTAGAAAGGCCATGGCGGTGAGCTGGTCTTCAACATGGGTCATGGGTCAACAAAGGTCTTCAACATGGCTATAGCAGTTCAAAACCTCATATAAATGTGAAGCACTTCCTTTCACGGCCCCCTGGCTGTAACTGACGTCAAAAGCTCACGCTCAAATGGCGATTAGACTTGCATGGTTACCCGGTGTGCTGTGGTCCTCACAGATGACTTTGGCTCAGAGGACATCACAGGCATATTTTGCACTCCCATTGGTACAGTGACTCACGGGCTCATATTGAACATTGGTACAGTGACTCACGGGCTCATATTGAACATTGGTACAGTGACTCACGGGCTCATATTGAACATTGGTACAGTGACCTCACGGGTCGGGCTCATATTGAACATTGGTACAGTGACTCACGGGCTCATATTGAACATTGGTACAGTGACTCACGGGCTCATATTGAACATTGGTACAGTGACTCACGGGCTCATATTGAACATTGAGTTCGAGGCACATCATTCAGGCAGGTTCAGTTCCCAGCCAAGTGTCGTATTTTCCCCACAGGGTCTAGGAGCCTTTATTTTGACGGACTTACGGCAATTACGAAAAATTTAATGCAATCCATTTGGATGGCGCGGACACTGTTTATGCAACAATCTATGTTTAGCGGGGACCGTGGTGCAATTGTCACCAGTCGAAATAATTCGTCAGACTAAATTCAAAGAAGCGGAGCACGTAGCATGTATGTTACGGGCCCTCCAAACTGACAGCTCCTTTACTCCAAGGTCGGGACAAAGCCGTTCTCTCATTGCGTCCAGCAGGGATGTGGCATTTTTGTCCTGCGCCACCCGCCACCAGTTTTGAATCCATACCGCTGATGTTGGGGACTGACATACCTCTCTGTTTTTCTGGTGTTGGTATCTGGCTTTAAATAATCCTTTTAAGAGTAAGAGTATCTAGGAACCTGTTCCAGCACCCTCGAGCATCTGTCCAGGATATTACTGCATCGGACGCGGAAACCACTCCTGACGACAGACATGATATCGGACGAAAAATGCGCCCATTTCAATGACGGTTTCGCCGTGCACATTGACTACATGAAAACTGTAGCATTTTTCAATAGAAAAATCTAGCGCGTGTGCTAGAAAAATGCGCAGAAAATGTAAAACGCGTTATGCTTGTAGTTTCGCAAAATGATTGAGATGGGTTGATCAAAGACAGACGGCTAAACCCACCTAAAAATAACTTCAAAACGGGTTTCCTCGGATTTGACCGACTTTGCTCTCAAGGTTGACGGCTGGAGACCCTAACTGAACGACAAACTACATTCCTGGGACACGTTCACATTGTATATTTTTAGCCTGGTTGCCTGGCATTTTTAAGTTGACAATCAAACGTGTCCATCAGAAGGCGAGTGGCTGGTGGCTCCCGTCTTTTCAGTGCAGGCACTGCATGGGAAGGAAGCGAGGGTGCGTCCTTTGCACGTCCCGCGTGTTTTGTGTACACGTTAGGACCCTGGTTCGTTGGACCTTGACACCAATAACTGTTGACGCGTCCATCACACAGCGCTCTGACACGTCACACATCTTTCTTGTTTGAGACCGTCGTAAAAATGCCCACGCATTGACAATGAGTCCTAGATAGAATGGAAAGCAAAATGAGAATAAACTTGCACATTTTGTGTTTTCTTTACGCACGAACATTAACGGACTAGAGAGTGTTATGAAAGCAGCCAACTGAATAAACACACAGCATTAAATTTTGCGTCATTTCATAAAGCGACTGTGTGGCATTAACACGCGCCCGGATGGTCGGCTAGATACGCTTTGCTCGGGTGGGGGGTCAATTTGACCCCCTGAGATCTCGAGAATTAAACAGCTAGAAACACCAAGTTTACAGATTGTCTTAACCTGTACATGAACTTACTTCGGTCAAAGTTTGAGCTTCCTAGGTTATGACCTTCAGATCAAATAAGGTCTAATGCTAGGCTGGTCCCAAAGTACCCCCGGAACCTAGGCAACTGTTTCTAAGCAAAAGGTCACGAGCCCATTTCAGGTCAATGACCTTATTTGACCTTTTGAAGGCCGTGGCAACCAAAGTAATACAATACTGCCCTGAGTTTTGCATTTGAATAAGCGAGAAAGTCACACAAGGCAGTATGTTCCTAAAACAAGACGTGGACCTGGGTCATCTTAGGTCAACGGCCTTTTCTGACCCCTGAGAAGTCAATGGAAGATGTGTGATGCGGTTCCTGCTGTCAATAAATTCGAAATGAGCACTAGAAACTATCCCATACAGCAAGCCCTAGAGTAAGAAATCAGGTTGGTTTTGACTTTCGTCTGACCTTCATATCTGACCTTAGGTCGACGTAATTTGCTCATTCAATATTTGTGGTGCCTAAGAAGGCATCTTAGAGATGTATGGAATTGTCAAACACTCCGTTGTTGCATCAGATTGAACGATTCTCCAGAAATTGCCTTCGCTGAAACCATGGCCTGACTTTGACCCGCCATAGGTCAGCGACCTTACAAGGTACATCTAATTTTTAAGGTCGAATGATCCGCTATTTAATTGTCTACAGCTACGGAAAATTTAGCGCGGCCGCGCCGTGCCCTTCGAAAACCATTTTGAAAAACCTTTGGGGGCCAATTTGACCACCTCACCGCCCGAACGCGTGTTAAGAGATGTCTGCAATGAAAACGTTTCATGCCAACCCGAGCTGTAAACTCGCGCGATCGGTGCAGTTGATCCAGTGAGAAACTACGCCTCTGGTGGATGCTGCTTGCATATTTATAGCACACTTATATCAAGTATTCCTCAATACCTCCACGCAGTGCAAACACTCCAACAAACACTCGTCCTCTGGCTAAAAGTTAAGAAAACATCCTCGCTCAAGTGCTGCACCCCAGAAATACATTTGCTCGAGCGTTACACCTGAGTTAAACACACGCACCAGGTGCATTCTTACGCCTACTCGAGGTGTTTTGTCAAACCGGCGAGCCGGTGCGAAGTTACATCGCTGAGCTGTGTTAAAGGCACTCATATATGCGTATATGTGCGTATGTTTACAGGAACACTTCCATATGTCGACACGCCAAAAGTTGAAGAGACCACACTTGTATAGGGCTTTAAAATGAGATAGCCATTTTGAACATCATCCCCTGCAGTTGACGGTAATGCTCTTCGACTTCAATTTCTCGTTGGTGAGCTAGACGCATGCGGAATTGTGTAGACTATTTGGCACCGCCTAGTTTGCAGTTACTCTGAGATGCGTGATGTCATAAAATCCACACGTGAATTCTGCCTACTCAATGGTCATATTGTTTTCTAGTTCAAGCAAAATACGACTTTTAACCTTTTATTGAGAATAGCGCGGTAAACCAGAGTGCAGATGCGAGAACAAACACGTAAACGTATACAAATGAATTACGTTAGTTTTTCAGCGCATTAGCGAGGAACATTGTTCACATAGGTTTTTAGGGGCATTATTTCTATAGGAACATTATTTCTAGGTCTTTATCCGAGGAATGAGATTAATACTACTGCCTTATCTATGTGTACAAATATACAAAAACACAATGAGAATATGCCGAAACACGCACTCATAGCAATGGTCGTTTTTCGCAAGTATAAACTGAGAAGTCATCTTGTCGCGAGCTGAAGTACTACAAACGAGTTAGCTCGTACCCTACAGCGGTAAAACTGATACCACCAATCTGGCAGCGATTTAGACGTTATAAAAACGTCCCATGACGCAACCAAACGATGACGTATTAAGGAGCATAGTTACTAAAAGGTGAAGTTTTGTTATCAAATGTGGTCTTAACAGAACATACCGAAAGTCCTAAGTGAGCTTTTATTCGCATCTGATGTTTGCCTCAATATTTTCAGATGTTGAACGTTCCTCTAAGCATCATTCAAATCACATACACCGCGAAGTTGTCAGTGTAACGAAAAGACATTCTCACTAGAGAACGCGGCTGTTTTTGACGACTTCGCACATGCAAAACAGATCGCTTTGCAGAGCATTGGGAAATATATAGAAGACAGATCACATAGATGACACAAATGCTTTGCGCCTCACGTCGCCATGACTAGTTCGCATCGGCAGGACGTTTGAAAGTGATATATTTCGAACTTAACGATCCCAACAAATTGTCGTTGGGAAACTTAGCAACGTTGGCACCAATAGCGTTAGAAGACTAAATGCTCGCCTGCAACACATAGCTGTTGTTCTGGAAAAGTGCGTGATGATAACACACTAATTACTAATTTAATTACTAGATCTACTAAAATTACTGCACTAATTACTTAACACTCATTACGAATTACCAATAATTACTGATTTAAAGGACACTCACAAAAATTTGGGAGCTGGCCACCAAGTAGCACATTATTTCATCACCTCTATGGATGCTTGGTGCACACGCGGCCGCGTGGGGAGGGGAAATCGCGCCATATGTTTTCTAAATTTGTATGAGGTTTTGAGCTGACAAGGTCATTTTGAAGATGATTTGGTGCAGTTCATGGCCCTGCCCTGCTTTAGACCTAAAGCCCTCTAGTTTTTGAACTATACGCCGGCAAAGATATGCAGAATATTTCTTGCAAACAATTTCAAGGTCATTCAGACATGCATGGGGTCATCGATACGTGATTTAAACCATGCCACCTCGCAGTCCAGGCGGCGTTCAACGCTAGGAAGAAAATTACCGTCCAGCTGTTCAGTTCTGGCGCCCGTGAGCGCGACTTCCAAATGTGGAGGACATCAGTTGGCTTTCAGACAATGTTGAACAAGCTGTGCAAGCTTCAGTCACAAAGCCCGTTTTGTACTATATAATATGGGAAGTTGGTTATTGTTTCTCCACTTGCCAGCTGTTACGGAAATGCATTTTTTGGATGGAGGTTTACTTCCTAAGGCTTGAGAATGCACAAGCTTAAAACTATGCTAAATAATATTTTTCACTGATCGGCTCTGAAGGAAGGTTGAACAATGCCAGACGAACTGGGGTTGGCTATATTAATGAACTGCGACCCTCACTTTGATCCACAAGCTACGTTCACGAGGCCCTCAATTATAGAACTCAGACAAAAGAATATGGCAATGCATTCTATTGTGTTAAAAGAGTCCACTGAAGCATTATAAAATAAATCGCGCTGGCAGATTATTCCATGCGGTCCTTTGACGCCCGCTTCCTATAGTTGTTGAATACTGAAGGTAAGACTGAAAATAAAACAAAGAAAACCGCTTCCCCTAGAAATAAAGTGGACCATATCCGGCGATTTTTTGGGGGTGGGGCTTCACCGTCGGGAGGACATTTGCCAAGCGTGTGCTCCCTTTCCCTTACCAAGGCTCCAACTGCGCCCCTACGTACTGATCTACTTTGGGCACGACCATATCCAGTGTCAGATGAGCGACCGGACCCAGTCTGGGTGCTCGCTTTTAGGAATGAGCGTAAAAACATTTTCAATGTGGTCAGTTCCGGTCGTCACATATTAAGACACTGGATTTCTACATGTCACTTGTATGCAGGTCCAGCACAAGCAAGAGACAGGCGTGTTATTAGGCACTCATATCGCTGACGTGGCACAGGCATTAAAGGGAGTGTTTCACATTAATATTGGTTTTGAACAGGGATAACCATTCTTAAAAGCACTTAGTACAGTTATCAGCGATGTCCTTTTTAAGGATTAAAGTCATCTTGTTTCCGGGCTTGACGCCCGCGAATTTGTGCCAACTATTCGGTGCAGACTATTTCAAGGCCACCCCGACATTCATTCCATACAAACGTCGCACAAATACCTCCACCTCATTGGCCATGTAGTGCTCAAGACCATGACAAATACGATTATCGAATTATTCGCGCTAGCACGGCTCGTAGCATCAACGATCATCAGTTGACCTTCAATCATTTTGATATGATGAGTGCAAGTTTAGAACATAAATCACGTTTTGAGCTATATAACGCAGGGATTTGAGCAGTGGTACGAGTTATCACGAAACTAAGACTGGGACCAGAATCACTTTTCATAACGATGTAAGAATTTCACAAATGACGCGCCAACACGCGCGTGACCTCTCGGCAGGTTGAAGTACTGCAAGTGGTCAATCCGTCCGCTACAGTGGTAATTCTGACTCGGCCATCTGGTAGCCCGACGTCATACAAACATTCCATGGCGCAATCAAATGATAACGTATTGAGGACCTTATCTACTAAACACAGAAATTTTGTGGTTTAGAGCAGTTTTTGCACTAAAAAGCACACCGATAGTTACAAGCGAGCTTTTTCACCACATCTGAGGCTGGGCTCACTGTCTTCAAATGTGGAGCACTCCCTTGAAGTGACAGCTTTAAAACTTATGTCGCAAACTGTCCAAAATTTACTGAAGCCCAACTTTACTACCTCGCAACCGCGTCTTTCCTTGACCTCCGCCTGCGACGCTCAAAATCTGACGCCGCGCATTTGAACAGTCTGGTCCCAGGGCTTATGCGGCAGAACAAAAATTATGTTACATTCGTTACCTTGCTACATTCGGCTGCCGTAGATCGCTCGGCCGCCCTGCCTATCTGGGCTGGTGGCGGGCCCCGGTGGGGGGCCGCCACGCGCCGAGCGCCGGCGACAATCACGGTCGTCCAGGTCCACGCGGCGCCGGCGGCTGTGACCGATCAGCCGAATTAATGAGCGCCGCGACCCCCGTCCCCGCCGGGTCGCCCCCGGCGACAGGGGGTGGCGACAGGCCCCGGCCCGACAACAAAGAAAGTAGGCCAGCCATGCCAAAAGGGCAGAACTGCTAGTGGCAGACACAGCCGCGCAGGTCGTCCCGACGGCCGTCCCCTGCGGACGACGACCGGGGCTATCTGTTACAGCCGCCGGCCGCCGGCAGCGCGGCGGCCGGCGACTGCACCGAGCCACAGCACTGTATCAGGGGGCGGCGCTGCCGACGCTTCACCGGGCGCCCCGCAAGCCGCGCCCGCCCGGACAGGGCTGCGGCGCACCGCACCGCGCTAACTTACCAATCGCCTTGAAAAGGTCGGCGTTACGTTTGGTCCGGAGACATGTGACGTCACACACCCTGTTCATCGTATCGGGTTTGTATCAACCAGGGGGGGGGGGGGGTGTGCGGAACTTAACGCTCGTTTTGGACTCGCGCCCGCACTGACTTTGGTTTACAGCATTCTCTTCAGCGTCTGACGCGCTTGTACGCAGGCCCTGAGATTGTTAGGCGATGAGGCGATCTGGCCTGTCGCCTCCTGACGTCAATGATCTTCCTACAGATGGGTTATGTCCTGCCGTGGAGTTGCATATCCGCAGTTAACATGCTACCGTGCCGCAAATGGGTCCTCTTCCCCTTGAGCTGTCGCTGTAATCGTGTCCAGCTGTGGGGGTGCCGTGTCCAGGCTTTAGTGTGACTTCTTGGCCGCTCCAGATGGCTTCTCTCCGGCTGTACGCGGCGGCGTTGCTCCTGGCCACCTGCTACCAGCACGTGCTAGCCCGCGACCTGCTGCGACCGCCGCCGCACAAGCGACAGGCCTATTTCTGCGGCAGTGCACTGATCGAGGCCATGCAGCTGGTGTGTGGCAGCGCCGGCATCGGCGGCGCCAGCGGCAAGCGCACGACGGCAGGTCAGTGGACGCCAGTCACTGTTAGACGTCAGAGGCTAGACACGACCACGGGTCAGTGGGTAGGGTGATCGGTTCCAAGGAAAAGTTCCGAGAATGTTTGCATCGCAGGTCTTTTTGGATTACTTCTGTACGCTGGTCACGAATGTGACATTGGAAATGTTCATTAAAAAAATCATTCGGATTGCCCGTCCGCTTAGGCGTATTCCCTTTTCACGATGCTTGCGTTAAACGCATGACTGTCTCAGTTATCATGTGATCGAGGTAACTGTTCACTTTCCACTGGCAGCGCTATTATACATAATAATAAACAATAACAGATTGGCAGCAAACCAATATTCTGCCTCCACCCAGTGTCTTAAAATATTTGCATAGCAGTCGGTAATCTAGCAAATGCATCATTTCCTTATAGGTGGTGACGGTATTACCAGCTGCGCTTGATGACGTTCCCACATCCGTGAATACCATGGATATTGTCACTGTGGTCCTGAGGGAGCTGTGCTCCCACTAGCAGCGTGTTGCACCCCTTCTGACCGGCTTCGGTGCCCCCCCCCCTCACCAGTCGTCCGGCGAAAATTCTGGGTGACACTCATGACATACGTGGAGTTGTTCGACCGACGTGATTTTTCCGTCTGGATTAATGGGAAACCCTTGACGTGGTAAACAGTATTGTCCTGTTGATGAACCGCGTATTTTCCAAACAGCTGTTCTTGAGTGGTGGAGGCGGTGTGGTGGGTGGGGAAGGGGCATCTGGTCGCAGCGCCTACTCCAAAGATGCGCCGATAGAAATTGAATAAGGACTTCAATGGAAACAATGGCAACCACACCATCTAATCAGGGGATAATTATCAACATCTGCTGTCAAACACAATGGACTACAATTTCATGCACGCAAGGGCGGCGCCACCAGTTATTAATGGCGAGCGAGGTCATCAAATCATCACAGCGACACTCGAATGAAAAAAAAAAACGGATGAGAAAACATGTATTTGATAGCTGGCGCTTTCGTGAATGAGCATTGCTACGAAACTTCCTCATGTGTCTTGGGCTGCACTGCCGTAAGATATGGGGGTGCGGGAACCGCGGATCGCGGCAGGACTGTCGCGCGCTGAAGCTGCATTCGCCTGTGGTTAAACTCGCGGGAAGGGTCATTGCAAGGCAATCCAGTTGAATGACTTAATGAACAGGTTCCCGCGTGGCGCTGCGGCACCCCTAGCCCATCAGGTGGCACAGTCCTAGCCGCCTAGCCTTAAGGTTGGTTTACGCAGCCTCTACGCAACCAGGAATAAGAGTGTTACGAGCATAAGAAGAGGAAAGAAGTGAATGAAAGGGGATCTCTTCAGTTCGCATGAGTATCACGTTGACCGTAATGGCGTTAAAACAAAACGAAAAATGCGAAGTCGCTCAGTGCTTTATGTAAGCCTCTTGCATGCTTCTCGATGCCATGCTTCCCCTGGCACCTTCGTTGTCGTAGTCCCAGAATATCCTTTCGTATTTTTGTTGCAAATTGTCGGCAATTCTAAACGACATGGACCATAGGCTAGGTTAAGTGTTATAATTTCATAAAATTATTGCTTTTTATTGTTTTCATTGAACCTATAATTCGTCAGTTATTCTAACTTCATTGTCTTTCCCTTTAAATGTATAATTTTTCATAGTTTTATGGCACTTTATTTAACAGAGTATTACAAATGTGTTTAATTGGCAATAGTCCAGCAAACACTGGCCAAATTGCTGAGGGATAATGTTCTTCAACTGTTTCCTTATCAGTCTGGCCAGCAGCTGTCAGGATATTTGCTGAAAGCATTCCGCTGCAAGCTACAAGGCCATAGAATGCATTACGATTAAACCAAGCCAGTAAATGCTTGTCTTAGAATAACGGGACACGCCCGCAATATTCAAATCTCTCTATGCCTAAACAAGTTGTAAGGTTCTAATTTTTGGTCTCTAGCCTCAGACTGCCCTCGACCAGCGCAGCGCCCTGCTTTGAACTTTAAAATGTCTCGTCAGGCACAAGAGCGGATGCATGAAAGGATAGTGAATTTGCGTCGCCTCGCTCCGCCGTACCTTTTTCCTGAACTCCGGAATGCTGTTCGAAAAATTATGTAATGGTGGTACCATGCCTGACACTTCTGTGCAATATGTTTCAAGATGCGCAATGAACATAAAAAGTACGAGAAATTATAGGGCCGTATGTAGTTGCTTTCTAGAGCTATTGCAAACACACGAAGACGGAATTGGTGATAACATGTGGTGACTGTTCACGACGCCGTACGAAAATATGAGCCGTATGTGGGAATTAAAGATGTGGTATTTTAGGACGTATGCTACCATTCAAAATCAAATACCTTTTCCTACGAAAATGTATTTCATTCATAGGTTGCAGGCACGTGATGCACTATTCACCTCTCAATCCAGCTCTGGACTCTAGGCACGAAAAACATTGAATGCGCTCGCCCAGCATAGGGGAATATCGTTGAGCGGTCTTTCCGGGCCCTAGCAGGATCGTACTAGCATTTGGGGCAACGCAATCCTACGGGTACAAAGGAATTGCGTTGCGATAAAAATGTAGTCAGGGTCCTTAGTCAAAATTTGTGCGAAGAGCATATTCATCCCGCAAGAATGTTGCTGGAATATGGTGACTGCCTCCTCCTATCAAACGTTAGATGGGACGTGTTCCTCGTCTCTCACAGTGGCGCCACCGCTGCAGAGGCGAAGTAGAGTCCCTAGGCTACCTGAACGGATCCTTGTTGGTGCATTCTCATCATGTCAATCGGAAGACTTACAGCATTGCAAATTCGCCTGCCAACCAAACAGCTTGTTATTTTATCACCAAACACCGAAAACAGTGGTTGTGCCTCACCTCTAGACTTGCAGTGGCCTGGCCACGGCCGCCCCCGACAGCGGCTAAGCATTCGTTTCACGGCTCCCCACCGTCTCTCGCGACCACCGATCCTCCCATGTGTGCCTCACGGCTCTGCTCTGTCTCTCAAGACCACCGATCCTCCCATGTGTGCCTCACGGCTCTGCTCTGTCTCTCAAGACCACCGATCCTCCCACGTGTACCTCACGGTTCTGCCCTGTCTCTCAAGACCACCGATCCTCCCACGTGTACCTCACAGCCCCACCCTATCTCTCAAGACCACCGATCCTCCCACGTGTACCTCACGGTTCTGCCCTGTCTCTCAAGACCACCGATCCTCCCATGTGTGCATCACGGCTCTGCCCTGTCTCTCAAGGCCACCGATCCTCCCACGTGTACCTCACGGATCTGTCCTGTCTCTCAAGACCACCGATCCTCCCGCGCATTCCGTCGCGATGTGGTTTTGCTATCTAGACCAGCTATAAGCATTAGCCTCACCATTGTCTGAGCTATCAGGAGCTCTTCATCTTAAAGGTGCTGAACTGGGGCAGACACCTCGACCATGTGGTATAGTGCTTTCATGTCGCTGAGTCATATCGCAACATGTGCCTCCGTTTCTCGTGTTTTGTTTTCGTGCAGCAAAATTGTCGTTGTTGTCTGTATCTTGTCTTTTTGAACCACTGGAAGTGAGACTTTTCTTGAAATGCCTCGTCTGATATACCGAGCAGTTTCTCATCGGTACATGATCATCATCCACCTCCACCATTTTTACCTTCAGAAGCTCCACCATCATGACCGTACTAATGACCAGTCCGCAAGTAATTCATTCAGTGGACGCTGGCAAGCCCGAACACCACATTGTGTGCGTGGCTGTGCTATTTTTACTTAATGACGCCTCCATCTTGGGAAGGTCAAGTGGACGCTGGCAAGCCCGAACACCACATTGTGTGCGTGGCTGTGCTATTTTTACTTAATGACGCCTCCATCTTGGGAAGGTCATCTGCTTTATGTCAAATTCATCACATATGTTATATTAGCGGATGCCGAGCATGGCCCACCATTTCCATATCACAGCTGAAGAGAAAATAAACAAAGCACCCGAGATTCAGGAATGCTTGAAATATAAATACTTAGTACTTATTTCAAGGTAATAGACAATAAGTGAAGGGTCTTCGCTACGAAGCGCCAAAAATCGGCATAGCCTGTTTTGCACACGAATTTGTCGCGGACCAACGCGAAAGGTCGCAATGCTAGAGCTTAGGCTGCACACAATGGCTTACTTTCTCTTCGTGCATTTACGGAATGGGCGCTGCGACCAGATGTAGACTCCCACTCACGCGCCTCCATTCCTCGCGAACAGCTGTTCGTACAACATGTGGTTCATCAGCATACATATCATGTTAACCTTGTCAAGGCTCTTCCATTCACTCAACGATACATAACTAACGTATGAGCAGCAATTCCGTACATGCCATTAGTGTCACCAAACATTTTTTTGCCGAGTGAGGGAGCTGAATGAGGGCACAACGGCTGGTCAAGGGGGGGGGCAACCGATTCCCAAGGACTACGGCGACAACATCCCTGACATTGATGTGGAAACGACAACAAGCGTAACTAGCGATGCTACCGCCACCTATTGGGGTGATGGTCATTTAGTTGATTACCAACTTTTGTGTAATTATTTGGAGACACTGGTTAGAGATATCATATTGATTTTGGTGCCAACCTATTTGTGATACATTATCACTGCCACTGAATAACTATTATGCCCCTTGGCCACGCTATCCGTAGTGCTATCGTGCACTTCATGAACGCATCGTAAGAAACGAAGACCTTTTTTGTAGGCAGCGCGCCCCAAATAATTTTGAAATCAACATTTACGGGTCATATTTGTGATCAGCATGCTAAAATGTATCCGAAATAGAACAAATCTGAGCGGCAAAACTTTTCGGAACCTCTTGCAAAATTAGCACACGATGACAGTCAGTGGACACTCCGTCACTTCTAGTGGTCGAAGGCTGGCACACGACGACAGGTTAGTAGACACCCGTCACTTTTAGGGGTCAGAGACTAGCACACGACGACAGGTCAGTGAACACCTGTCACCTTTAGTGGTCATAAGCTAGCACACGACGGCAGGTCAGTGGGTACCACCGCTGACCAGCTTAGGTGCAAACAAGGGGAATTTGGTATCCCAGGACCCCTCTTAACCGTAAGCCCTACTCAGGGTTTTTGGATTCTGGATCCAGATGTAAGTAAATTAACAGAACTGGGACCCCACGGCTACTAAAATCCTGTTGCGTTATGCTGGTCAGGAGGTTTGGAGAATGGATGATCCTGAAAGGCGTGCATGAGCATAACCGTTCATGAAATAAAGTTCTGCGCGATGTCTTCGAAGACTTTCGAGAAGGTTTTTGGAAACGTTTCGATGTAGCTCAGCACGGTATTCACGCACAGAACGCATGTAATTTAAGCGGTAACAGATGACGTGTAATGCCTTTTGTTTCGTTGTATATGATAACAACAATTACAAACCTTTTCCATGGTACATTTTGCCAAGGTGCCAACGCTTAAAATTGTTGCGCAACTCTTAAGATCATTTTTGTATTCGTAACGCTTCACGACTCTGGGCGTGAACCAACGCAAATGATCCCGACGCTATGCAGAATAATGCGCACACTTCATAGAAGATCGTGCCCTCTTTGTGTACCCGAGTCCCAACAAGCCCCGCATGAATGTTTATAAAACTAGACCATCCTTGGTGACCCGAGAGCTGTGCTGGCAGCAAATAGCTGGCTGTTTATGGGCGATTGGGCGGATAAGCATAAACAGGCGCAAAGTGCAGCTGATGGTAAACCGAGTCTGCTTGTCGCCAGCTACGCCCACTGTTGGCGGCCACCGCAAAGTCCATCACGGGTTTTGCCCCACCCGTTCGCGACACATGCGGGACATGGTCCAACCCTGGCGGGGCGGTGCGCGACTCTGCCGGCCTTAGGCGTATGCCATGACAGCACGGGCGCAGCACTGGCGCTGCCGAGAGTGCTGTGGACACCCGGGGCTGTTACCAGCAGCCGGCGCGCGCGCTGGTGTTCAGGTGTCGTGAGCTGAGTCATGAGTAAATCTGTGAGTCGAACTTTTTGAGTCATGAGTCGTGCGGTGGGTCGACTAGGCAGCCATGTCTCTCTTTGAATTGTGAGTTGGGTGGCGAGTTAGATCACGAGTTGAGTCGAGAGTTGGGTGTTGGGTGAGGTCGTGAGTTGAGTCGTGAGTTGGGTGGTGGGTAAGGTCGTCAGTTGAGTCGTGAGTTGGGTGGTGGGTTATATGATGAGTTGAGTTGTGAGTTGGGTGGTGGGTGAGGTCGTGAGTTGAGTCGTGAGTTGGGTGGTGGTTTAGTTCATGAGTTGAGTCGTGAGTTGGGTGGCGGGTGAGGTCGTGAAATGAGTCGTGAGTTGGGTGATGGGTGAGGTCGTGAGTTGAGTCGTGAGTTGGGTAGTGGGTGAGGTCGTGAGTTGAGTCATGAGTTGGATGGTGAGTCGGGTTGCAAGTTATGTCGTGGGTCCAATGGTGCGGTCATGAGTCAAGTCGTGGCTCATATCGTGAGTGTGGTAATGCGTCGTGTCGTGCAGCGTGTCGTGGGCCGTCCGTGCTGCCTCCGACAGCCCCTCTCACCCGACGCGTCCGCCGCCATCGCGCCTAACCGCCCCTCCCCTCGGCAGATGCCCTCATTGGCTACCGCCGGGACCGTCTGCCGAACGAGCTGACCGAGGTGCCGGCCCGGGCGCGGCCGTACGCGCAGTACAGCCGGCAGCGGCTGCTGGAGACGCTGGACCCACTCAGCGACCCGGAGCGTCGCGCCGCCGGTCAGCCCGAGCACCTGCGCGTCAAACGCCAGGGCATCGTGGACGAGTGCTGCTACCACCCCTGCACCATCAACACCCTGAAGAGCTATTGCGAGCTGGCGTAATGGGCGGGCGACGCGCGACGGGCGTGTGATAACCATGTGTTCAGGCGGCCTGACGGGCACGGCGGTGGCGCGTCCGGCGTAGCGCATGTTCTGCACCGGTCGCTCGGGGCAGCCCCGTACGGCAGCCAGCGGCGGCGGCGGCGGCGGCCCCCGGCTGGGTGTACTGTCCCCCGCCGGGCCACCCCTCACCTCTCACCCCAGACGTACCCCACCGCTCACCTCATCTCACCTCACAGCCGCCCACAAGCCGATCCCGCGAAACGGCGCGCTGATGCATGGGCCTTATCTCGGCATATCGGCGCGCCGAGCAGACTTCTGACGAGTCCTCTCACTGATCTCACCGTCGACACACCCACACGCTGATCTCACGCCGACACACCCACAGGCTGAGCTTATCCCTGTAGCGTTCCAGCGCACACCGCCCTGAGCTCAGCCCAGCTGACGTCATTCGCTGGCCCCTTCCACCCGGCTCCCGTGACGACACTGTGCTCGCGCCGCGTGGTGCGCTACTGCGCTACTCCGTGCGAATAGCGCGCGGAGTAGCGCTACTGCAGTGCGCCACTCCGCACGGTAGGTCCTGGTCCCGTTGCGGCGCCGCTACAGACCGCCGTTACGAGATAGTGATCCCACTACGCCTCTCTTCAAGCCGCCAAATAAGCGATTAGTTCCGACAGGCCGGCCCGTACTCGGAACTCGGACGCTATGTGGCACCGTTCGCGGAAGGCGTGGCGTCGCAGCCCGGCTGCGGGACTGGCCGAGGCTCTGTGGCGACTGTGTACTACGCTGCCCCCCCCCCCCCCCCTTCTGAGGCCAGAGGAGCAGCGGCCCAGTTAGTTGAATCATAATATTTGCTTCATATCTTGATTAATAGGGCTCACGGTTATGCGCACAGCCCGAATCTAGATTCGGTGCACGGTCGTCACCACGGTGCGAACTACCGTGCTCCGTGCCGAGGTAGGCGTGGTCAGCGGCGGCGGAGACTCTGTCGCACTCATCCTCTTCATTTCCGCCTGGTCTTCCGCCGACGTCTGGGCAGGTCTGTGGGAAGATCGTAAAAGGTGTCGAGAGCACGGCGCCCGTTCGAATCGACGGCCCAGAACCGTCACCGTGACCAGCTCCGTCCCGTGGCACCCCCGCACCCCCACAGCGCCCCGCCGGCCGTCCCGCACACGTGACCCTGGCATCGCCGCTCTCCAGTGCACGCTCGCCGGGGCCGCGCCATCTCCGACTGTCTGTTGCCAGAATGGTACGCGTGTAACGTGTACGCGTCGAGGCGAGACGGTGGCGCCGCTGGTGCCGTCGCGAGCAGAGACATCTAGCGGTTCTCGCCTGAACTGAGCCCTCGTCGCGACCGCCGGCCAAGCTGTCTCTTCTATATTTGTTCCATGTCTGTGATCAGTTTGAATGCGACTGTGCCGTAAGTTAAATGCGTACGTTGTACATTGCATATTTTCAGTGAAAATACACGGCTGTAGAGGCCGGGTTAAGGTGAGGTGAGGTGAGACGCCATGGGACCGGCCTCGTCGAGGTGCTCTCCGCCCGCCAGAGAGCGAGGCTTCTCATCATGAACAGACGGCTGGACGCCGAAGTGCTGTTTCAAACATGAATAGCCATCTTCGGTCACGAAATATCGCAGCAACAGATGTGCGTTCAACACATGTGGGTGCAGTTGCGCAAAATACAGACGGAGAAACGCTTCGGGGATGTTTTGTTACGGCCGTGCAGGTTATGTGCAATGCGTCAGCATCACATGGAGCGTAATTTACCATTTTGCAGGGCTGGAATAATGTCTCACTGCAAAATATATCACGGAGCTGTTGAAAATTTTGGTGCGGCAAAGCTTCCGCCGCGTATGCGTTGGATTCACCCCAAGGCGAGGAAACGACTTCCGAATCGCGACTGTCTCGATCGAACACGAACGGCATTCATAAGCACTCTCATCTTGCTTTTCAACCAGCACCTCTCATAAAACGTGAATGCCATTTATCTACACCAATGGCCCTGAACGTTTATGTCTTGTATCAGAGTCTCACAGATAAGTCTCTTAATGTACTTGCAGTGTTCTAAGCGTGTCAGCGGGTGCGGGTGCCGTGACATGTGGTCATTTCGCAGTAGTTTCAGGAGGAAGAAACACCCCTGGTCTCGGATAACGTGGGTAGTTCACAGTGGTCAGTTTCACGCAGCTGGAAGCGTACGTCAACCAAAGTTTCGTGGGGGAAGGTCATTAGACCAGATGTCGCGCGGTCGATCAGGACCCTGCTTAGAGCCATGAGTGAGTCCAGCTCACGAGTGGCCCCAGTTTATAGAGTGCCGCGGAATGACCATTTTCAGAACGTCATCGCTATTTAGATGTCACTGCCAAAATGTGCACGGGTGCATGTGCATGTGAGACTTAATGACCCCAGAAGCGACCAATGATGTTTGCTTCTGGAAAATGAGTTCCGTGAATCGCTTGCTCGACTGGCGTTGGGAGCCGTGTCCTCCCTTACCATAGCCTATTGCCAGGGCGTCACGACATTAGTGCAACGGTAAAGCTCCTCACGACAGAGGTGCTGCGACATCAGTCACACGCGACATTACTCCGGCTGCAAAAACTTAGGCAGACTACTTACACGCGACATTTCTTCTATTGCAAAGACTTATACACGACATGAGAGCTACACATCAAAATTGATGTCGAAAAAACTTATACATGTCATTACTTATACAGCAAAGACCGACGCGGCCTTCACTTATACGCGCTATTACCTCTACTGCAAAAGCTCTTAAATCATATGAGTACTACACGACAAAACTTATGCCGCAAAAAAACATTCCAGTCTTTACTTCTACAGCAAAAGCTTCGCCGCGTCTTTGCTGTAGCTCTAAGGTCGCGTATAAACATTTGCAGTAGACGCAATGCCGTGTGCAAGCAACAACCGTCTAAGTTTTTGCGGTAGACGTCATGACGGGTATATAAATATTGGCAGAAGAAGTCATGTCACAGCACTGTTGTTGGCAGCAGCTTTTGTGAAGCACCAATGCCGTGGAACCTAGTGCGAGAGCACTGAGACACTGCGGCGGGAGGAGTTCTGAGGCGACGGGCGAACGTTGTTGTAGCACCAATGCCGTGGAACCTAGTGCGAGACCACTGAGACACTGCGGCGGGAGGAGTTCTGAGGCGACGGGCGAACGTTTTTGTAGCACCAATGCCGTGGAACCTAGTGCGAGACCACTGAGACACTGCGGCGGGAGGAGTTCTGAGGCGACGGGCGAGCGTTGTTGTAGCACCAATGCCGTGGAACCTAGTGCGAGACCACTGAGACACTGCGGCGGGAGGAGTTCTGAGGCGACGGGCGAGCGTTGTTGTAGCACCAATGCCGTGGAACCTAGTGCGAGACCACTGAGACACTGCGGCGGGAGGAGTTCTGAGGCGACGGCGAGCGTTGTTGTAGAGCACCAATGCCGTGGAACCTAGTGCGAGACCACTGAGACACTGCGGCGGGAGGATTCTGAGGCGACGGGCGAGCGTTGTTGTAGCACCAATGCCGTGGAACCTAGTGCGAGACCACTGAGACACTGCGGCGGGAGGATTTTGAAGCGACGGGCGAGCGTTGACACAGGACCTGTTCAAACGCGGGACTTCTTCGCAAAAAATACTACCGGTGCGGGACTGATGAGAGGTAGGATAAAATACCATCTCATTTCTCACACTGCCAGTATGATAGCTTATCTAGATAACTGCATCAGAAAACTAAAATGCTAACACCGTCTGTGCGCTGTCCATTGAGTGTTATCAACAGTCATCCTCGCACACTCAAAAAGAAACTTATTAAAACCGGACATGATCACATTAATTTTCTGCACAAATGTCGCTTTCCAAGAATGCGAGCCGATGCATGTAGAACACAGCCTTTGTATAGTGGAGTGTGCGAGTAGAAGCTGCTTCGGTGGGACGCTTGGAGGCCTCACGCTGCTGACAGTCCCAGGGTATTTTGTCGACCCGTCAACGCTTGCACAAAAAAGAGCAGCAAAACCGTAGACGCACAACTGGAAAGTTCAGCGGATTCCTCGTCATCAGACATATAGAACAAAACCTGTGAAAACCCAGAGTGCTCTTACTGCAAAAGCAACAGACAGAAGATAGTAGCCCGTGAGAGAGAGAGATAGCGAGAGAGAGAGAGAGAGAGATAGATATAGAGAGAG